AGAAAGAAAGAAAGAAAGAAAGAAAGAAAGAAAGAAAGAAAGAAAGGAAGGAAGGAAGGAAGGAAGGAAGGGAGAGGGAGAGAGAGGGAGAGAGAGAGAAAGAAAGGAAGGAAGAAAGGAAGGAAGGAAGGAAGGAAGGAAGGAAGGAAGGAAGGAAGGAAGAGGGAGAGAGAGGGAGAGAGAGAGAGAGAAAGGAAGGAAGGAAGGAAGGAAGGAAGGAAGGAAGGAAGGAAGGAAGGAAGGAAGGAAGAAAGGGAAAACACACATTTGGCAAACACACATTTAGTCCCTCTAAGGGACTAAACAAACTGAGCACAATACCAATTGTATAAATCCAGAGAAATTACTAAACAGACCATGGAGACCTGAGTAGGTGGGTTAAGCAAGAACTATCCACATGTCAAATATCTAAAGAAAGAAGATCCTAGTGTAAATCTCCAGCACCTAGACCAATCTCTAGCACTTGACAATCAATAAGTACACACTAAGAAAAATACTGAATGAATGAATGAATGAATGAATGAATGAATGAATGAGGGTTATGAAGGAGAGACCACACATTGTTTAAATCAGTGTTGAAGAAAGAGGAGTGAATTTGAAGCCAGAAAAAATGACACGAGTAAAGGTTGAGCCACCTGAATTCTCTCCAGGGTCAAGATTATGCCCATGCCCTGGAAGTCTTGTGCCGTCAGGCCTGAGAACTAAAGCTTGCGTCAAACTCACCCATGGGTCACTGTTTTCAGTCTGATGCAGACCTTCTCAAACATTTCTAAAACCTTCCTATACCAGAAACTACCTAGACTTAGTATCCTATCATGATGTAGAACATGCAAACACCAGATTAGATTCCAAAGAAATCCTTACATTTTTCAATTGTAGAAAAACCACAAAATATTGGCAAAACACTAAACTACATTAGTTTTTAAAAGCAATAATGGAAACCAATGCACACTTCTGCTCAGATGGCAAAGGAGAACAGGGATTTTGAAGGTAAAAAAAAAATGTTATTTTTAAAAGAAAAACATGGAGCTTTTCATCTTCCACGGTGTGGTATTTTACACAAACAAAACACAATAGCGTTCAGGAGAATGTCTGTCAAGAAAAGGCCAGTATCATTTTGAAGGATTCACTAAGGGACATCACATGTCTGTAGCCCAGGATGGACTCTACCCAGAGATCTGGAGCCAAGGCTCTGAAATTCCTCTTGCCATCTCCAGACTGCATTGAGACACTCCTTCATTTCAGCTCTTCTATATTCCGGAGCTTCATATACTTTCTAGATAGTGTGAACTGATTTTTTCCTCAAAGATCAGGTAAGTTGGCTTCTCCAACCAGAAGTAAACTCTTTTCTATTCTTACTTGTTTTCCTCATTGCTAAAGCTCTGCTTGCCTCACATCCAAACCACCTGAGC